CCATGTTGCTTGAGCCCCTATGGCACTAGGACGGTACGGACGCACCATTGAGGCTATATTAATCGAATCTCCCGGAATGATCTTTCTGCGTCTTCGGTAACTGCGTCCTATTGTTAGTGCCTTTTCTTTAAGAGAGTGGCTGGAGAGCCCAACTGAGGTCGTCAAATCGTCGATCAGATCATTACCCTACCCCACTAGTTCATCCGTCCGGCGTATAGTGTATATTACGATCCCCCCTCCTCACCATTAATTCATCGGTGGGGAGTCGAGCAGGAATACGAGCCATGGAGAGCGACCGCGACTGCGGCGTAGCGGCAGCATGCGATCAACGCGTCACGGGGGTAACACGCCCTGCATCGCGCGACTTACGGGCCAAAGCAGTCGGGAACGCCAAAGCAGTCGGGAGCCAGCCTGCCAAGAACTTGCGCGTCAAGGAGGTCTTGCGACCCCCCGTGTCATCCAGCGACGAAGTCAGCGAGAATTTGGATGAGTGTTCACTTAACAACAGCGACGAGGAGTGGGTGGGAACATCATCAGATGCCTCCGGTGCTATAAGCTGCGGAAGCCGGTCGAAACAAGTTCGTTATGGAACACCTCAGACCGCAGCAATTGACTCAAGTGAGGAATCGGATGGGATTCAAGCGGCCCCTCCGCGCAGATATGCGTTTGAGTCATGGGGCGACTTGGAGGAGTTTCTTAAATCATACGGGGCCGAAACATACCAGGTAAGATGCTATTACTTGTTATAAATAGCTGTGGAGACGGCGTGGCTACCAACTTGGATATATGCATTAAAGTTGGTCATATGTAGAGCTTTCGCGTCCGGACAAATAACAAGGTTACTGAGAGGAACAAAAAAATTCAGGAGTCTGGCTCCAAAGCACCACTGGTTCCCGACGAATGGATTTACTACGCAAGGACGTACATTTGTACGCACGGGGGGAAATACAAACCAAAAGGCAAAGGCAAGAGGAAGCGCCAGCATTCGAGAGCTATGCAGTGTGGCGCATAGGTGGGTTCGAGTTGGTGTAGTTGGTCACAGTTGGGTACGATTTGGGTTGGTTGGGTTGAGTTGGGCTAACAGAGTTTCCTGTGGTTGCAGATCAATGTCTGTGTGCAAATGGTTGATCCTTCTGGGCAGAAATTTGCTTTGAAACTAACGTCTGTGCGGCTAGAGCACAACCACCCGTTAACGAAGCACACTCACAGCCAGTATCCACAAACTAGAACTGCGTACGAACCTGAGGTTCTTTCTACGGTGGACGAACTCCGAAAGGCGGGGGCCAAAAAGAAGAGCATATTGGCCTACATCCACGACCACTCCGCGTGCGAGCCGACCAAAAAAGATGTACATAATCTCGTTGCCAAACTTAAGAAAGAAGCGCACACCGCTCCCACAAGCGCGAAGCGGCTGAAGCGATGGATGATCGAGTTTACCGAGGAGCCTGGAAGCGTTGGTCGTATCTTTGTTGATAAAGTGCAAGACAAGGTATGATATTGCCGCATTTTTGTCATGATATTTGGGGACGGTACTGACTTTTATCCACATTTAGAGAATCACCACATGCATTACACTGCAAACCAAGCATATGCGTGCTCTTTTCGACAAGTTTCCGGAGGTCCTGATGATTGATGCCACTCACGGCACGAATGCATCCAAGTATAAAGTTTTTTTGATCATGGCCCACGATGCTTTTGGCAAGGGTCAATTTGTACAGCATGCTGTGGTTCAAAATGAACGCCGTAATACTTTATTGACGGCCCTGGAGGAGTTCAAGCGCAACAATCCGGTGTGGGTTCGTATCAAATGCATACTGATCGATAAAGATTTCACGGAGATGTCTGTGCTCAAAGTGGTCTTCCCGGAAGCGATTGTGTTGCTGTGTCAGTTTCACGTTTTGAAGTATCTGCGCGAGGAAATTGCCTCAGCAGAATACGGGTTTAATTCTTGGCAGAAGCAGCAGCTGCAAGGGCTCGTGAATCTGTTGGTTTACGCAAAGACGGAGCGCAAATATGAACGGTTTCGAAAGTACTTGCGCCATATAATGACAATTGGACGTGGAAGTGTAGCTCGTACTGAGTTGGGTGCTGGATCTACTGAGTTGGGTGCTGGATCTACTGAGCTGGGTGCTGGATCGACTGAGTTGGGTGATCGAGGCACCGGTACGGCAGAAGATGCCCAGGATGTTGTACACCCTTTCGAGGCCTATTTCTCAAAGAATTGGGACTCCTGTCGTTATATGTGGTGCTCATTTGAACGTCAAAATGCCGTGACGATGGGTAATAGCACAAATAACCGTATTGAAGCCTCATGGAAGCAGGTGAAAGAGCTCGTGAATGGATACATGGGGGTTGACGAGTGCATAGTGGCCATAATGTGTTACCAAGCGCAATCAGAGAGGGAATTTATGGATGGTGAATTTGATGCTATTCCTGCCGCTGATCCTGTTCATGATAAATCTGCACCTATTGGAAATCGCGAGGAGTTTTCAAGGGATAATTGTTCAGCTGGAACGAACTCTAACACTCATGTGAATCCTGCGTCTCGCTCGAGTAGCGAGGTGGCCCAGCCGGACACGGAGTGGGTTCAATCGGGCACGGAGCTGACTCAGTTGGTTCAGTCGGGCACGGAGCTGACTCAGTTGGTTCAGTCGGGCACGGAGCTGACTCAGTTGGTTCAGTCGGGCACGGAGTTGACTCAGTCGGCTCCATCAGGTGCAGAGGTGATTGAGGTGGTTAACAGCGTCAACCTCGATGAAGGCGAAGCCGAATTCGAGCTTCAAAGTCCACCAAAAGCAAAAGGCCGCCCAAAACAGAAACCTAAGGCTGTAAAAGCTAAACGGAAACTACATATTGCGATGGTTCAAGAGGATCTCGAGATGCACGATAAGCAACTCAACCTAATTTCGGCATTCGAGTTTCTCTCTGACAATGTAACTTCTGACTCGGCCCAAGAGAACATACTCATGTTTAAGCTCTTCGTCTTCGCGACGAAACCGAAGCCGCCAATCGCGCGCGACTTGAGGAAGCTTCCAGCTACGAAGCCGTTGATGCAGCCTGATGAAATCGTTAGAATCTTTCCGATGGATCTAATAAGGAAGTGCGGGGCTAAAGTGTCAGCGTTTCAGCGAAAGAATCGTGGCATTCGCGAGCTGGACATTGCTCTAGAAATAGTAGGAGTTGGGGTATTCGTCAACTCAACGATCAAGCTCATGAAAAAGTGGCACGTTGCAGCAGCAGCATTCAGAAGGATCGCCCGCGCGCTGGCATGGATAGAGAAACTGGATCTGTCCAATTGCGGTAATGCCAGCTATTCAATCGAGGAAGACCCCGCCCTGCCGTCAAAGCTGAGACAGATTGAAGTTTTGACCCCACAGGTATGAACCAGTGTGTAATCGAGAGTATGATGGTAAACTAACTACGTCTGTGTAGATGGATGTGCTAGCATTGGCAGGTAAAGAGCTGATAACGGACGAGGTAATGTACAAAATACTGGCCAAACTGTTTGGTTGTAAGCCCAATATTGCCGTTTTCGACTCTTCGACACTGGGAATCGTTGTGGACGGAAGCGTGAACACCTCCAGCGAAATCATTCGAGAGGCGTTATCTGGGCTGACGACGGAGAAGGTGTTGATTCCAGTGAATTGCAACGGTAACCACTGGTGTGCTATTATGATGGACCTCGAGGGTGGAGTCATTTACGTGTACGATTCGAGTTCTTCTTCGTACGTCGTCAACGTACGTGCCGTAGCGCAGACGATGGTAGTGCTACTGCCTCCAGGTGCACAGAAAGCGTTTCGGGTGAGAGTCTTCAACGCAGGACTCGGGGTTCAGACTGACAGCTACAACTGCGGAATCTACGTCTTGCTTGCTTTTGAAATGTTTTGTGGCGCAGAACCACTAGGTCACGTGGACAAAAAGATGCTGCAGTGCCTGCGTTACCGCTATCTTTGTACGTGTCTGTAGAGGCAGCGCAGACGAATGACTATCGCTAACTCCCAATATATTTTGGCCTTCTCACATGTTTTCTTAAAGTTGATACGACTGATTTCTATCAAGCTTGAATTCCATGAGAACGCCGAAATGCAGTCGCGGCGCCGAGACCACGTGGACGCTGAGAGATCCAGCTCCAACACATCGCTCTATTCGGCTATACGTATACACGAGGAGCTGGCTCGATTTAGAAGGCTTCCACTTGGGCTGGATTGGGCTCAGGTTGGTCTCGGTTTGGTCGCGGTTTGGGGCGAGTTGGGGCAAATGCCCCGTCTCATAATATCCAGTTGGGCTCTCCAGCACGTGCCTTTCTTTAAAACCTAAACAGCTGCTATCACGTTTCTGCTCAAGGAAGCTCCGCTAAGGGAGTCTCCCGAGCTCTACGTGCTTTTCACGACCAAGGAACGGAATATCGTACATGTGAAGCACGTCCGTGGAAGCACAAGGTAATTGTGCCACTCTCGTCGCTAGGCGAGTCGCTGCTGGCACTTAAGTGACGTAGATCGATCATGACTTGTTTCGCAAACCTTTATACGGGAATACAGCATATAGCTTAATGAGTAAGACTTATATTTGTTTTAGTCTAAAATTTAAATTAGTTTAAAAGCACTAAAACCGACTTTAAACTATTTACTACTTTTAAAAAAAGTGTGTTACAGCGATAGCAAGTGCGAGTGGAGTTAGCCTGACGCTATATCCACCCTCACAGCTCTTAAAATAGAGGTAAAAAAATCTGCAAAGCACAAGACTACAACTACTTCTATTACTACTATGACTACTACTATATCTAATAGAACGACTTCTACTACTACTACAACGACTACTACTACTACAGCTTCTACTGTACTACTACTTCTACTACTCCTGCTACTACACTTCTACTTCTAGTACTATTGATACTATTGCTGATACTACATGTACTACTACTAGTATCTGTTTTGTCGCAAGAGCCGCGGCCACCTGAAGGCAATCAAATTGCCCCGCATGGCGTGAAGTAGAAGAATACCTTTTATAGCCCAAATAGCTAAATTTGCTTAAAAAATCTCCGTATTTCATACTTGGTCATCGGCGTTCGTTATACTGTGAACGAAGCCATTGCATCATGTTTTCATGCCCACTGTCTTTCGCAGAAGTGAAAGCCAGAGTGATCGCACTGTCGCTAAATTCCTCTGGATACGTTGTCTTGACCCACTTGGCAACGTCGACATGGCCGCAACTGGTGGCGGCAGTGAAAGCCCAGCCAATCCATTGCATCTCGTCTTGACGTCGGATTTCCAGAAGCAAAAACTGCACCACATTAAGGTGACCTTGAGCTGCAGCTCCATCAATCGCCGCCTTGCTGCAGCCCTCCTTTCTGTTAAAGTGTAGCCATTGTACGACCACCAAATGTCCGTTCGTAGCGGCACCGTCCATTGCCCACGTTGTGCAGCCCTCACGGCGGTTATGATGCAGCCATTGTAAGACGTCCAGACGCCCATTGGCAGCAGCAAAATCCATGGCGTAGTTGACACACAGATCGTCTCCGTTGTAGTGTAGCCATTTCACAACCTCCAAGTGGCCGTTGCTCGCTGCCCAGCTCATGGCGCGTCCTGCGTCGCATCCCCTCACGTTGTAATGTAGCCATTTAACAGTGTTGAGATGGCCGCTCTTGGCAGCTTCGTCCAGTGGACTAAAATTGTAGTCGATCCACAAGTTCGTGACACGCTGGTCCTCGCACTCCTTGATCCACTTCAACACATGCACGTGACCCGATGCAGCTGCATGACGCACCATATTTTGACTCAATGGTGTCGGATCTCGCTGGTGCAGATAACTCAGCTCCCGCTCGCTGTCACCACGCTGGATGGAGGCTGTAAAGGCTCCACCTCGAGCCAACGTGTCCAAGAATTCGCTAATACGGCGACTGACATGAGGCAGAGCACCACCAGCAGCCGGGAAGCACTCGCGCGTCACCAGAACGGCAGCCGAGAACAGTGGCCACTCAGTAGGCGCCATGGATGCAAAGTGCACCTACGCAGACGATCTCTAACTGCGCCAAAAGATGACTCGAGCCATAGCGGATGATGACCGTTGGCCAGGGATAGGATTCTTAAGTCTTCTTATTGGAATCAGTGGATTCTAAGAGCAAATTGTAAAGCTTAAAATTTGAGATTACCTGCAGCTAAATATAAAAAGAATTATTTTCACTGTCGTTAAATTCTGTATGCTCCTGCTCTTGAAACCTCAAAACCATAAATATGGTCCAGAGGATGCGTAATCAAAACGGACATCATGCACTTTTTATTTAGGTCGACTCATCCCATTTAGCCAAATTTGTCCGAGGCTCAGCAGAAGCAATTGGTCGATTCACATACACTTACCTGTCGTTGTCGGTGGCTAAACCGAACGGCAATTACTGCTGTGTGGTGCATTTGAATAGCTCTGTTAAATACTTTAGTACCCAGCAAAAGGAAGCGCTGTAGAGAACACGGTACAGGTAAAATGCTCCCCAATGCGATTTGATACCTTAACACGATTGAGTTTCGGATGCATTGGTCCACATGTAGCAATTTCTCAACGCCGCGTCTTTGCTAAAATGCGACTTTGATGTTTTGAGGTTTCAGGAACAACCCAATATTTTTTTTGAGCATTGCTCTACAGCAACTCTATCGAAAATTCACATTTGAAAGACCTTAGCTTAACTATGACAGCCTCATTTTTCTTTTGCTAACTGTAGCATTTCTTCCCATGATGACTCGCATGGCCAACAGCGGTCGTGGCAGTCTCTCTCGCTCCTTCAGCAGCTGGAGACGCCTCCCCAGCTCTAGGTTCGACAATGCCGTACTGCGAGAGTTGCCTATCGATACAGAGCCCAAGAACTTCGTGCGAAGTGCCGTATCTGGCGCTTGTTTCTCTCGGGTAGATCCCACACCCATCGCCAGTCCAGAGTTGGTCGTCACCTCCCCTAATTCGCTTCTTCTAGTCGGCATTGAGCTAAACGAGAGCGATAGCAAGAGTCAAGACGAAGGAGTAAACGGTGAAGGCGACGATTTACAGCCAATTGAGACCTTGGTGCCGATTCTAGCTGGAAATACTCTGTTACCTGGCGCTGAGACTGCCGCCCAGTGCTACTGCGGCCACCAATTTGGCTTCTTCTCAGGCCAATTAGGAGATGGAGCCGCCCTCTATTTGGGTGAAGTGGTGGCTGTGGACGAGAGGTGGGAGCTGCAACTTAAGGGCTCCGGACTCACTCCCTACTCGAGAACAGCCGATGGCCGTAAAGTATTGAGATCAACGTTGAGAGAATTTCTCTGCAGTGAGAACATGCATGCACTGGGTGTACCTACCACTCGCGCAGGCAGCGTGGTCACGTCCAAAGAGACGCAAGTGCTGAGAGATATTTTCTACAATGGCGACGCCAAGATGGAGCCAACGGCTGTGGTGACGAGAATTGCCAAAAGTTTTCTGAGATTCGGCAGTTTTGAGATTTTTAAAGACGAGGACAAGCTGACAGGCCTCGCTGGACCGAGTGCCCACTTGGAGAACAAAGAAGAGATGATGAGAGAGATGCTGGACTTTACTATTCGACAGTACTACTCGGAGATCAGTGGAGCGAGAAAGTACGAGAAGTTTTTCCAAGAAGTTGTGCGTCGTACAGCCATGTTGGTGGCCAAGTGGCAGTCAATTGGCTTCTGTCATGGTGTGCTGAACACAGACAACATGAGCATCGTAGGAGACACGCTGGACTACGGTCCGTTCGGGTTTATGGAGCACTTTGACCCCAAACACATTTGCAACACGTCGGACGACAGAGGACGCTACAGATACGAAGCGCAGCCTGAAGTCTGCAAGTGGAATTGTGGTGTATTGGCGGATCAGTTGGGACTCGTAACAGAGCGTGCAGGTCTGGAACCAATTCTAGAGTCGTTTGATGCTGTCTACGAAGCCGAGTACATGCGGCTGATGCGTGAAAAGCTGGGGCTATCAGACGAAGAGAAGGAGGACAAGATGCTCGTGGATACGCTGTTCGATGTCCTTGCATTCACTGGCGCAGACTTCACGTGCACCTTCCGCTACCTGTCGGAGCTTGACGTCTTCGAGACGGGTGATTGTCGCGAACAAGTGCTGAACAAGCTTGTTGCTGTCTCCGAGACATTGGCTCAGCAGAAACGCAAACTGGAGCTGGACTCAGGAGGAGTCTCTGACGCTCAATTCGACATGGTTGTGATGCTGTTACAAGAGAATCCTGTTCGTGCTCGTCAGTATGGCATCACGCCTGCTCTGGTTGCTCAGATAAAAGCTAATCGTGAAGCTAAGAAGCTGCTTGATGCGACTACGGACGAAGAGCGCATGGATAGTATCCGTACTGTGTGGGTGGACTGGATTGACGTCTACATTTCCCGTGTCAAGGAGCAAGGGGATGCAGCAAGTGACGCAGATCGCCGTCGTCGTATGCTCGATGTAAACCCGCTGTTTGTGCTGCGCAACCATGTGGCTCAGAAGGCCATCGACTTTGCACATGAAGGTGACTATGACGCGGTTCAGCACATTTTTGAGCTTGTCACAAACCCGTTCGATGAACCGACAGACGACCGCGATCTCGAATATGCTCGTCCGCAAGATTCATCCACCGCCCCGCTTTGCGTGTCGTGTTCGTCGTAGTGCACGTTCACCTTGAATAGCCTTTTCAATATTGCCGCTGCTGTGTGCGAAAACGTACAGAATGTGTTTTGAGCGCTGAATAATTTTGTGCAATCTACGTTTTATTGCCCCTTCGGTGACTTCGACATTTGTGTGTTTACAAGTGTTGAGGTGACTTTTAGCATGTAAATAATATTTACATATTATGTAAAAGCTTAAGCACAAGTGATGTAGGATTAGAGCCCCCAATGGGTAAGACCGGTATTATTGAATGAAACGATTTGATTGATCCATTTTCAGTAAGGCACTATTCTACCAATTACTGAAAAAAGGCATTGCCAGAGCCCAGAAATATGTAGACTGCAAAAAAGAAAAAAAACAGCGAGCCGCAAAAATTCCAATTGTCCGACCGAATTCCAACTGATATGCCCGTTTTGTAACACGTCCAGACTTTAAAAAAATGTGTTTATTTCATACTAGTTTGACTTAGATTAGCTAGCTTTACAAATATCCATTCGCTCTTTCGTCCACCAGTGAAAGAAATAGCGGCTTGCAGCTCGAGCGCTTGTTCATGTGTCGCTGTCGTCAGGTAAGCTGGTGTGATTGCTGAAGTAGAGCCAGAACAGCAGTCTCTGTCCCGTGTGATGTGCGTCGAGCAGCTGCGCTGGACTGCGAGGGTCTGGGCGTGGGTACAAGCGGTTGTGTTGTTCAGGGAGCTCGGAGAGAGGGTAGAGTTAAGCAAGGTAGTTAACGAACCCAATATCTCTCCATGTGCTGCATTTTTAACATCACTAGCGTATATACAATAGCTCGCGCGGCCTGAGGATTGCAGTTCAACAGGTCTTGAGCCCAATGACCATTGCCTACACTGGGAGCGGCGCCGACACACGCACCGGTACCCATCCACGAAAAGGGCTTGTCTGGCTGGCGATGTAGAAGAGAAGAGCACCGCCGATGCCCACGAAAGGGGCGTCGGCAACCCGCCTGACGACTACGCGGCTGTCGGCAACAATTGGCGTCAAAGAACTTGTCCAAGATGTTGACGCTGATTGAGGGATTAACTCGATACCTTGAATGGTTCGAGGAGTCGCAGCCAAAGATGGGGAGGAAGCTTGATGGCGAAGACAAGCGTGCGCGCGAGGTCAACATTCTCATGTCACCATGTAACGGGCCAGATATTTACTCCGTTACTTGCTTACACTATAGTGTTGAGGAAGCTTGCAATAGGACGACTGAGTCTTAGGTTTAAGGAAAAATCAACCCTGACTGTATCTTAGGACCAAGGCCACAGCCCTGGGTACTCAAATACACGTCATAGTTTAATTAGCTAATAATGGGTCTGGCTCCCCATATATCAGCTAATGGCATGACAGCATTTCAGCACACGCTAGAAGAGATCTACCTACTTATGTAAAGAAATATACCTACTTATGTAATGGAGGGCCCATTACACACCATCTATGAATTCGAGTCTATTTGCCTTTGTTCTCGGCCGAGGAGCACGCGTGCATTTGAACGCCTTGGCCGGATCACCGATCATGCCACACACGACCACTCTGAGGAGGCCTGTCGCGCCTCCCCAATACTTCGGTCAGCAACTGCCTAAATATGAGCTGCCGCAGTCTAAGCTTCAGCGTCTGTACGCTGCCGCACAAGGGCAAGAACCCGCGGGTCCACCTATTCTTTCCCGAGGGGAACAACCGCAGCCGGGACTGGGCGTTTCCCACCGGAGAATAACAGCACAGCAGCTGTGAGGTACCCAGACGCCAGACATAAGCAACTTGACATCAGACCGTTTGTAACGGGGTAAGAGATACCGTTACTAGCTTACACTGTAATGCGGAGGAAGCTCGCAATAATAAAACCAAGTCAAAGGTTTGTGTCAAATTCAACTCTGATTTATTTAGGACCAGGGCGGCTACCCCTGGCCTCGTGTGAACCACTCAAACACATGTCTATATCTGATTGGTCAATAAGTGAGTCTGGCTCCTCACTATCAACCAATCAGATGATGACACCTTGGCACACGCTACCCGTGTGCCACTTTACCTACTTATGTAATAACTAAAGAAATATCTACCTACTTATGTAATTGGAGTTGGGCCCATTACATCACCCTCCTCTCTAAGTTGCGCTTACGCAACATAAGCGCACGGAACACATTTGAAGAAAACTCGAAAACCCAACGGAGCGAAGATGGCCGAGGACAACACGACGCAGTCAGCGGACGTTAGCACCAGCGCGACGCTGGTGACAGCAGCAAGCATCGACACACTAACGGCGGCGGTAACCCAGACAGCCGAGACACCGGCGGAGCCGACAGTCACGAGGATCAGCGCCGGAAGCACGCGGTCGCGCGTGATGGACGACGCCCTGGTTCCCTGGGACATGTACGACTTGTCAGGAGCGGAGAATCCGGATACGCTCGACACTATGAAGAACCACTTTCGTCGCTTCCGCGCGACGCGGAAGAAATACATTGAAGGCGCTGATCGCGAGGGACTTCGTCGCTCCTGGTGTGCCTTCATCCGGCGATGGAACCGGATGTCGCGTGCTGAAGAAAGCTTTGTCGACTGGTTGACGTATCGCGAGGAGATCCTCGCGGAATATTCGATTGGAGAGCTACGCGTGAAGGTCTGCAACAACGCGTGGGATATGGATCGACTCTGCTTCGTGCACGTGAGAAGAGGGGATGTGAGTCCTGTGGTACTTCAACCCGTCCGACTCAACGCGAATGGAGGGAATATCTCGCTTGAGCGGCCACTTCAGCGGAGAGGAGTCGGGATGGATCGGGAAGTACGAGCACACCCTGTCCAGTATGGATCAGGCGGCTAATCGCGGGGGGCTTCACAGCCGAACGTTGGCACGCCGTCGGGAAGCGGCGGCGGCCGTTGTTCGGCCTTCTTCAGGGCGGATCGGATCTATCGGGCCCGTACTCGCATCCTCGGTCCGGGTACTCCGCTGGGGTGGACTCGCGGGAAT